ACCGATAGATAACAGCTTTCACAGTCTTTCTCTTGCCTTTTTGTGTGCTGCAGTATGTTAGAGTTCTGACTGGCACTGTCAGGATGTTGGGAAGTGAGGGAGCCACTCTGAAATATATCATAAAATTAACCAGCAGTCGGGCTGATTAAAGAATAAGGCCCACTACACAGTGCTTAGAAATGAGTAAGGCTGCTCCACTGGAATGGAGGTAACTTTTAACATATAATATTATTTCAAACATTCTAATACATTATGCATAAGTAAGAACGGCAGCTGCTATCAACCACAGGTCCTCTCGAATCCATCCCTGCTGGTGCTCTAGTCCAGGGGTACAGTGTTCAAATGTGTACAAAGGGCTGGGGACATAGCTCAGCAGCATAAACACCTGCCTGGTAAGTGCAAGGTCCTGAGTTCAATCTCCAGTACCAAAAAGCAAACAAATAAAAAATAAAAAATGTGTACAAAATCTGGGTTCAATGCCCAGCACCAAAATATAAATAACCAAACAAAACCCAACCCCATCCTGATGAATTTATCCTACTCTGTTTTAATCACCTGATTTCCTATCTTTGTGTCCTTTCTGTAAGTACAGTGTTGGGCACCCAGGGGTGCTTCCTGAGCATTTGCTGCCTGCTCAGAGACCACTCACAGCCCAGTCTGCTCAGCTGAGCATCCGCTCCTCTCTCTACCTTGCTTGATAGCTTCCCTCCAGGAAACTACATACACACTGTCACAAGTACTCTGGGGCTGGGGGTATAGCCCAGTGACAGAGCTCTTGCCTAGCAGGCAGAATGCCCTGTGTTCCACACCCAGTAATGCAAAAGGAAAAGAAGAAAAAAAGAACAACAACAAAAAAAAAGAGCAAAGCTCTGTTCGGCAGTTTCTGCTACTGGCATCCCGGTTCATGGGTGTCAATCTTATTTTCCCACTTAGGCAGCACCACCGCAGGCACGCTACTGCTGTATAACCTGCCAGGTAGGCAAAGAATAGTACCACCTTCTCAGGTGTCTTGTCTCACAGGAGTGAATAATTTTATTTACTTATTTATAGTTTTCTGAGACAGGCTATTCCTAAGTATCCAGGCTGGCCTTCAACTTGCTATATAGCCCAGAATTTCTTTAAATTTGGAAAGCTCTTGCCTCACCCTCCCAAGGATTATAGGTGTGAACTACCACACTTGGCATGAGTATTTTATCTATCCTATTCTATTTTATTTTATTCTATTTGTCTATTTCAAAGCTGAGGATCAAATGCACATCCTCATGAATGTTAGGCAAGTGCTCTACCACTGAGCTATACCCTTAGCCCAGGTGTGAATATTTTAAAATTTTATCTAAACATCATGTTTATTAAAGTAAACCCTGGGCCGGGGAGTTAGCGTGAGAGCACGAGCATCTGCCTGGCAAGGGCAAGGTCTTGAGTTTGGTTCTGGTACGAAAAAAAAAAAAAAAATCTAAAATAAACTCTACCTATTAAGGATTGTTGCAGTATATCCACATGTCAGATTTCTGACAGATGTGACAGGTCGAGCAGAAGAAACAACTGGTGTGCCAGTAAGACTAAAATGTGCAGTGGACTGTACAGAATTAAGACAGACATTCTTGGCACCGTTCTGATAGGCTGAAGATGCCAAAATATTCATGGGCCGTAAGATTCCTGAGGCCGCTCTCACCGCCCGCGCTAAAGCGAAGGTTGCCATCTTGCCACCGTCCCCTACGGTGGCCGCCCAGGATGAAAAAGTGCCAGAGCAAAAGCGAATAAAGAAAAAAAAAAAAAAACACGACCGGGGCGGAGTCAGGGGTAGGAGGCAGAAAAAAGGCGTGGTCAATTCAGTCCTTAAGGAATTGTTCAATGGGTGTGTAGGTCAGGTTCTTTGTCGCTCTCGAGCTACTGCCCAAAGTTCTAAGCATGTAAGATGGTGGGAGGGGGTCCCCACTTTCAATGTCCATGCCATCTTACTGGAATGAGCCAATACAAGTTTAGGGCCTGCATAAAATATGCATATGTCCCAATTTGAAAAACAGTTGAGAAGTTTACTATGCTTTCCTTTCATATAAAGAGCACCTTGAAATAGATTTAAAAGGGCAAAAACTCAACAGAAAAATAAAGGATGTGAACAAGTTACAGAAAAGTAAGTTGACTATAAGCATATTCAATGGTGCCCAACCTTACTCATAACAAATACAAAATAAAACTCCAGGAAACACTACTTTTCAAGGTCAAGTTTGCAAAACTCTAAATGTTTTTGACCTGTCCAGGGATGATGCTGGGGAATCACATTCCCACACATCCCATTGCAGCCCTAGGGAAGGCAACTGACAATAAGTATAAAAGTTCAGAGTGTGTTTACCCTTTTATGTCCCAATCTGATACACAGAAACTAACACTACAGAAACAGTGGCATAAATTCCTGAGGTATGACCCAAGTTTCTGCTACAGTGCTGCTCAGAGATTAGAAAACAACTCAAGTATTGTCAGTAACATTTTCATGTAGTGATAGACAAAGATTACCACAATATATTAAATGGAAAAAACCCTAGTACATACTTTTTTTTTTTTTTTTTTTTTTGCCAAGCCAGGGATTGAACTCAGGCCCTTGCACTTGCCAGGAAAGTGCTTATTCTACTGAGCCATCTCCCTGGTCCCAACTCTAGTATATAAAACACAGAAGAATATATGACATGTACTGTCTATGAAGTGGGTCTGGGGAACAGAATAGATTAGAAACAAAAATGGGAGTAAGATTTTTCACTCTTAGTATGACCTAATGATGTCAAAATATTACAGAGTTTTAAATTTTTATATATTTTTTAAAACATTGAAACTTGTTATTGATCTGACCTCAAGTTAAAATACTGCTCAAGCAGGGAAAGGGATATAGCCCCGTGGCACAGGCCTGCCAGGAAAATGCAAGAACCTGAGTTCAATTTCTAGTACAAAAAAAAAAAAATTCCAAGCCTGAAAATTCTACTCAAGCAAATGAAAAAAGAAGATCATTCTTCACTGAACATAATTCAAATAATAGAAATGACTTAGTTTTCACCTGGTGCAGATGGCTCATCTCACAGGTGAGTAAGCCAAGACTAACCAGGCCTCTGACTAATGGGACGTACCTGAGAGTGAGGGGAGCCCAGGTCTTGGCTTCCCAGAATGAAGCTCTGCTGCCAGCCACGTTGGTCCTTCTGTTTATTCTCCCCTCCTCCCCTCTTCACCCTTGGTCTCCCCACTCAGCCTCAGGCCAGAGTCGAGTCCTTCCCACTTACCCAGCCCTCCTGACCCTGCTCCCTGGTTGCACTGCCTGCTTCCAGCACCCCTCCTTGAGAGGACCCAGTCACTCCTTGCTGAGTTGCCTGGTCCCTTTGGCTGCTCACATGAGTGTTCCCAGACCCTGACGCCCTCTGAATGGGTCACCTCTCTCCTGACCACTCAGAGATGCCCTCAACGTGAGAAGACTGCCCCTTCAGTATAGGGTTGCTGAGGTCCTATGAACCATCACTAGCCAGCTATGACATGTGATACACTCCTCACCACTGTCAAGACCTCTCCTTAGCCAATCAGAGCATTTGGGGCTAAGTTGGGGCTAATTCAGAGAGCTGGAAACATGGTACTTGAACTAAATATATTATTTTTTAAAGTCTACAGATATTTTGCATAACTACTTAGGACTTTATGCCCTATTAATAGTGTATTAATTTCAGCTTATGCTGTTTTGCTTCCTTGTCATGTGTTTTCCAGCACAGAATTTGTTTTTTAATCCTCTGCAGTTTATGTTGCAGACAGACTGTTTTGTTTACCACTTTTGATTAGAATCAGGCATAAGATTTTCATGTAAATTTCTTTTTTAAAATACCAGTTAGGGGCTGGTGAGATGGCTCAGTGGTCTAAAGCACCTACTTAGAACAAGCTTAGCAAAGCACAGGGACCACGGTTCGATCCCCCAGCACCACATGCCAGCCAGCCCCGCCCCCTGGTGGGCTGAGCTGGCCACACACATATATATACACACACACATAAATAAATAAATATTAAAAAATAATAAAAAATAAAATACCAGTTAGCCATAAACCATATTGAGATCAATCAGAATCCAAGTTAACCTGGTTTGTATTTCCTATCAGAGGTCCTTAAAATAATCCCCTGGTTTTGTCACCATGGGAAAGACAGAGGATTATATAACACTGCAGTCAAATATAACAGAATGAATTTCTTCTGTACTTACATCTTTGGGGCTGGCTTGAAGTACAGAGCTGATGTAAGTGGGTGTGTATGCCATTATGATATTGAAAAGCCAGTATTCGCAGAAATAGGAGACTACAATGGCCCAAAGTGGCAGGCACTTGATCATAGCTTTAATTGGAAGAGACCAGCCAGGAGAACAGTCCTAGAAGAAAGTACATGCCAACATTCCCCCATCAGAAAGCAAGGACTCTGCCACCACACCCAATTCTACAAGCCCACACACCCAAGGAGATGGCAGGGATGCCCCTTGCCGTACCTGCTGAGACAGTGACTGCACAATGAACCTCTTCTCCCTGGCACTGATGAAGGGATGACTTCCAGGGTCATTATAGACCAGAGGAAACCAGAGAAGGCAGCAGGCGCAGCCAATTCCACCTAGGCAGAGAATACCCAGCTGGCACGGGGTTGGAGTTTTCCTTTCATTTGGTCTCTGGGCCCAGATAATCTTACGGTTGGCAAAACAATGCCAACACTAAATCCATCTCTGCATCAGCAGGGGGCCCATCAGAAGTCAGGGCTCTTGGCCTCACCTGACATTTTTGCCAATGATATAGGGAAGCCTTGAGCTCAGGCAGTAGGAGGCACTGTTTTCCCCTGACTTGTCTTCTGCGAATTTTGCCCATTGTCATGAGAGGAACCTGCTCCATCTGCTCCATTAACCAATGCAGAAGGCAGGCCTAGAGCAAAGCCACCTGGCTGTCCCAAAGACCTCTGAGGATAAAGCCACTTTTCTAAACAACTGAGTTTGGAAAGGTTTTGCAATGCACTATCATATCAAGGCTAAAAGGCATTTTACAAGTTATTGGTGTGTTTGCCCGAAGATTGAACACACACTCATTATTCAAATACCAACCAGCATCCCCACCCCCCCGTCACACTCCTGCAAAGTTTCTTTCTCCTTAACCCTCCCTATGCCTATCCCTAACATTTCTAAAGCACTTAAGAGTCAGCAACAGTACATATTATACGCAGCTGACTAGCCAGACAATTTATGGACATGAATTTAAACCTCCACAAAGAAATTTATTCTAATAGAAGCATTATTCAGGGACTCAGCACCATCAGTAATAAGTGGCAACATGGCTCATTTTTAAATTTCCTTGTTAGAATCTCAAGAAAATCTCAAGAATTCCCTTCATTTGACTGGCTTGTCATTTATATATTACCTCATACAGACACCATATACCAGGCATACTGGTAAATGTTGAGACGATAGAATACAAAAGCACGTTTTTGTCTTCCAGGAGTTCAGTGAAATCAGAAGCCAGGAATAGGGATGAACAGTAGCAGTGCTGCATGATGGCAAAAGAGCCACTTTTTTTTGTAGTAGTAGTATTTATTCATTTATTTATTTATTTGGTGCAGGTTCTCACTACACAGCTGGGACTCATAGTGAACCTCCTGTCTGAGCTTCCCCAGAGATTACAGGCATGAGCCACCACACCCAGTTTCAGTGGCTGGCACAGCATGTGGTACTGGGGATAGAACGCAGGTCCTTGAGCTTGCCAGGCAGGCGCTTAGACCACTGGGCTATCTCCCCGGCCTGGCAGTAGAGAATCTTACTACTGATTCTACAGCTATTTAGTGAGTGCCTGCTTTGTATATGCTACCTAATGTTTCTTGAAACTGTGAGTACAGCAAGTCTCCCTCATTCTTGAATAATTTTTGTGATGTGCCTCTTTATTGCCTTCATGACAGCCCTTGCAGGCTGATGTGGTACAGCAATCAATTCTCACAATTTTTTGAGAGGTGAATAAGTTGATCTTAATTTATAGAGGCCCTTGATCTAAGATTAATATCTTCTAACATAAAACCTAGTGGAACTTATCCTGAGGAATCAGACAATTTGCAGGTGAAATTTTAGAGAAGGTTGCAAAAACCCAACAAACACACAACCATTCATTGATATCACCTAGGCAAATCCCAACCAGAGTTCAATGAAGGTAAAATTGGGAGGCAGTAAAATATTGACTCTGGAACATTCTGTTGCTTTTGAGACCTTTCTGCAACATCTTTCTGAGTATGGTGTCCACAACTGAGCTCTGATAGTCTACCTTGCTCTGTTGGCTCTACTGGTAAATTCTCCTCTTTAAATGGTATTTTATCTGTGCTTAGATCACACTCATGCAATTTTCTGCCTGTTATAATAACAGAAGAATTTTTAATATATTACTTAAGTGACCATGAGTGAAAATGCGTCATCCCAAGATAACATTTTCAACAACTCATAAAAGAAATTACCCTGGGATCTGTAGGTTCCTTTTAGAAGCAGAAGAAACATTATGATGCCCTTAAGTTCATATGATTATCTTAGCTGCACGCTTGAGCTATCAACATGTAAACTCTTTTATAACCAAGAAGGTTCACAACATGTTTAACTTTGAATTTCATCAACTTTAACTATGTAAATACCTATATGTATTAAGGCCTAGTTAGCCATAGATGAGTTGTATCACAACAGTCATGCCGAGCATACTTTATGTTAAGATAAAATTATGAGATTTGAAAGGCATAAACTCACCAAAGATATAGAAGATGTAAGGCCATCCTATGGTCTGACAGAGGAGACCACCAACCAGAAGGACAATGAAGGTTCCCAGCATTGACCCTAAGCAAAAGATGGAAGAAAGTTCCTGGTAAGAGAGCCGCTCTTGGCATTCTGTGTAAGTCCTTCAAAACTCAGGTACACAGTAAGTGAAGGAAAGCGCTTCAATATAGACACCGAGGGTGAGTCCTGCCTCTTCACTTAGTAGCTGTGTGATGTTGGGCAATTACTAGTCTATTTGTGCTTGAATTGCATGTGAAATGAAAATAATTACATGTATAGTTGATTTATAAGAATGTTCTGAGGCTAAAAAAATGAATAGATTTAAAATATAAGAATTTTGGGCATAGTTAGCTTTCAGTTCTGATCAGGAACTGCAGGGTAGTATGTAGAGCAAGGACTATAATTGGGATGCAAGGTCTCAGCTCTCTTCAGAGCAGTCACAGGCAGGGTGTATAAGCATGAGATTAAGATATCAGTTACCTGATCCAGCAATGGTGGTGAGTTGACTCCTTTCCAGTGGGGGAGCCCATTTGACCCAGAGTGAGTATTGCCCTGTTAATACCATAACCTGGGGGAGGGGATATTTCCATTCTTAATACAAGAGATCGCTCTGGAACCCATATTCCATTAGTGCTTGAAAACACCTCCTACCTGGGCAATGCCTTGGATGACCCGGAAGACGATAAGCAAGGCCACTCCAACATCAGCTGCCAGTGGAAGGAAGAGCGTCAGGACTGAGGAAACAAGCAAGCCAAAGCCAACCACATACTTGGCTCCAAATATCCCAGCCACATAGCCAGTGGGGATCAGAGCCAGGAATGAGCCGTAGTTGAGGCAGCTGAGGAGGACTCCCTGGATTTCAGGACTCCAGTTATAAACAGGGGCCTGGCAATGAAAAGAACCTCACTGTTTATCTTCGGTGAGAAGTGGAACTTTGATTGAGAAGCAAAAAAAAAAAAAAAAAGAAAAGAAAAGAAAAGAAAAGGGCAATTTTTTTCCCTTTCACTTCTCTCCAATTCTTTCTGTATTTCATTTTAATTATTTGTCTTTTTGAAACAGGGTCTCACTATGCAATTCAGGCTGGCCTTGAGCTCACTTTTTAGCCCAGGCTGGTCTCAAACTCCCAATCCTCCTCCTGCCTCGGCCTCTTGATTGCTGAAGATTACAAGTGTGCACTACCACACCCAACCTCCAATACTTTAATATACAAATTTCATTTAAAAAAGGCATGTGTCCCACACTTTCATTCCTGTCACCCTGACACAAGTAGCTCACCCATTAAAACCTGAGAGGCTGTGAAGGTACAAAGCTAATCAAGAAGGAAGCATCATCATAGGCCATAAAAATTATCCAAATAAAGGAAAATAGACATAAATCTGTGTGACTTATTTTGTGTTGATTTTCATCATTGCAAGAGAAAAATGTGTGTCCACTAAATGGTAAAGATCATTTCCTTTGGTCTGACTCAGTCCCTGCCTAAATTCATAGACACAAAACAGATGTAAAATATCCTTAGGTATATATCAAGCTCTTGTGCTGGAACATAGTGTATGAGCAGTAGTTATTTATGAATAAATGAATCTCATTTTTGTATAAGGTAGGCCTTCACATCAAAACATTTGAATCCAAAAAGTGTCCGGAGTCGCAATAAACTTACCAGAGGGTTTGCTTCCCTTAAGGTTTCATTCCAGGTGCCCTGGGAGTCCACAGAGGGCTGTGCTGTGGAGGAGTTGGGCTGGCTGGATGCCTCTGTGTGGTTCACCATAGCTGTGATGGCGATGCTCAAATTCATTTGTTGGGTGTAGATGGAAAAGTTGCAGAGCTGCAAGATGATGGCCAGCCCATGTCGGACTGAGCAAAAGCCTGAGAGAAAAGACACACAAAGATAGGCAGGATGCTTTCCTCCTGTCCTACGCAAGTCTGGCCAAGATAGAAGACTGAGGTCTGTCAGTGATGCAGACACAAGGAGAGCAGACAATGCTGTCAGTGTCTGGAGGACTCCCGCCAAGAAACGGAGGGAGAATGTCTCCTTTAGGAGCATCGCTCAAGCAGGGCCTGGAAGATTGTATGAGGTAGGCAGAGCAATCACTAAGGAGAGCTTTCCCGGGCTGTGGCATGGGTGGGTGAGGGTGGGAATGGAAGGAAGTCCTTTCCGAGAAAGAACTTGCTGCAAGCAGTAACTGGCTGCACACAGAGAGTGAACAGGAGACTGCTGTGGGTGACTCCAGGTGTTGGGCTGAGGCACCTGAGACAGCTGCAAGCATCCTTTATAACTGAGAGACGTGGATGCCCCATTTGTTTGGGACCTGAAAGGAGGTGAAGCTTGAAAGGTGAGGTACAGTAAGAATAGGTGTGTTTAAATTTTGTCACAGTCCTATAATCTAGAGGCATACACACAATAAACCAGTGTTCCTTGGGAGCTTTCAAAGAACGTTGATCATACCATGTAACGTTGTTCGATAGCAACTGGAAAGATTGATGGGCCACCCCTGCAGAGAAACCCCGGAGGTCATGCAGGATCGCTGCCTCCCACCCCAGCAGGGCCAGGCTCCAATCTCCTCCAAGGCGAAGCACTTCAAGCGGCCAACCCTACGTCCTCTGGTGTAACGATGCTCCCCCCACATTCTGGAAATTGACAAGTCCTCACTGTAGTTGGGTGAGCTTTCAATGATGACAAGCATCCCAATGCAATATGCATGCAGTAGATTTGCCACCACTGCTTTACTCTAGTTCTGGGAGCACCAAACTCTGGGAGTAACTGACCTCCAGCCACAAAAATATATGGTGGAATTTTTTATCAATATTACATTGGTGTGGCAGATTAAATTCAGAAAAGTATTCATGATTAGAGTATAGCCTTTCCCTAGCAGAGAAGGGTGCCCACTCATGCCTTCAAGCCTTTTTTCTGCACCAACATGAAACTTTCAGTTAGTCCCACGTAAGTTGTATTACTATAGAAAGTTAAGTCAGTGACTTGCAGTCAGAATGGGAAAAGTCATGAAGAATGCAGGAGTAGCAAGACAGTAGATGAAAAATAATGGGTGTAGAGAAGGGGAGGAAGTAGGTTATGCAGCAAATGAAAACAGGTGAAGTAAGTGTACAATTCATTCAATCTATAACTTTAAGGGACATATACAAAGTGAAATACAAAATTTAAATGTAGAAAATTTTAAAATAAAAAATAAATGTAGAAAATAATGGACACTCAAATCATAATGGAATTGAACTTCTCAATTATATACAAGGCCTGTTTCTTTAAAAAAGATATATTCACAGCAATAAAAAGCAATATACTCTTAAGATTAATCAGACAAAAATTAGATACAAGTAACTATTTAAAAAATGAGACAAAACATGAAATCATACATGGATGGCTAAAATAAGTTATGAATCATGATTCCTAGAAAATAATTTTCTTTATCTATATTCCTTCCTAATTGGCATATTCTTTGTTTTTCAATGTTTCTATTTTGCTTTCCTATTTTCTTTATGATTTAAATACACATTATTTTTACATTTATTGATTGCATTTTACATTCTTTCCTTGAAGTTAAGCATTTTGGATGTTTACATCAAGTTTTCATTTATACTCTGTGTGAGGTGTCATTCTATGTATTTATTAGTTGAAATAATTCTAAATTATTAATTAAATTCTTTATTATATTACCCATTTATTGAAATAATTCAGTCCTTATGGAGATCATGTAAACTGGCTATCTTCCCTTTTTTACAGATGGAGGCCATGAGGTATGGGAAGTTTAGACATACTTGCCTGGAGCCACATAGCTCAGCCATGGCAGAGTCAGGACAGCAAGCTCCAGCCGTCTGGCTTTGTCCTCTGCTCCTCACTGTGTGCCACTCTGTGCCTTGGTACAATCTTATACACAAAAGACTCTTTGTGAGGTGGAGGAGAATGACCAGGAGAGGGAGCAGGAGAAGAATAACAATAGGAGACTTTGGCCAACGATGTGGATTGTTCAATAGACTCTAAAATACCTCTAGAGATGGGTGAGGTCCTAAGCTAATAACACTACAATGGCAGTGTTAATTTTGGACCAAGCGGTGAATTGTGGGATGAGCATTAACAAGCACATCTCCTGATACCTTCTGTGGTGTAGTAGATTAGGAAAGGTCGCTTTGCTTGAACATAGGTTTACTTCCTAACAATAAACAAGCTAAGGGGTATGTAGTTCAAGGGATTCCACCTTAGTTACCAGTTTATTTTTTAAAGGCACTATTTCATGAACAACCTATATCCTTAGAAGAATTAAGGGATGACAGTTATAAATAATTAAGAGTAAAACAGTGTTCTGAGGTGATCCTTATTTCATGTTATAGAAAAACACTAAGTCAGAACATAGATGAGAGAGCAAGGAGGGGAAGCCTCTATGATATGGTGGAAAGAAAGCCTATTCTTCTGAGTTGAGTCTTTGTTTAGTTTTAGCAGACAGATCTAACAGGACATTAGAATCAGACATGGTTTCCCTGTTTCCTATTTAGAATCTCTTCTGAATTATTTTCATCTCCAAATAATATGATACTTACCTGTCCTTCAAGGTTTCTTGTGAGAGGTGAGGTAATAAGGGTTAAGCGTGCTCTACAGCTATGCAGAATTCTTGACAATTGGCCTGAACAAGAGGAATGTTCTAGAAGAACCACAGGGAAGAGAAGATGTCACAGATACCACCCGTCCCCACATCCACATCCCTGTGCACAATATACCTTTCTGGCAAGATCGCTCCTTAGCTGGTTGGGAGTCACCATCAATGAGGACATTTCCCCCTGCAGTCTTGGCATCTGTCCCAGTAGCCATGGTTGTTCTCTCCTCCCCAGGACTGGCCTTTACCTGTGGAAATAAAAGAGTTCAAAGCAACTGCAAATACATATGTCCTGCGTCTTAAGGCCTTCCAAGAATTAGGAGAAAATATCATTTGGTAAGAAAGTACTGGACTAGGTACAGTACACTGGATGTGCCATATCAGCTCCATCACTGCTGAACCATGTGGGCTTGGAAAAGTCTCAGGTAGCTTGGGTCTAAGCAACTGCCTCTGAAATAAGAAATCTGGCCCAGAGTGCCTGGATGCATTATAATCTTCTAGTTTCATGCTCCCATGTGCTTATGCTGATATTAGTATCAATGGGACCTTATAATTGATAGCTTCATTTGAAAATTCATCTGGAAGATTCCAATGCATTAGGTAAACTGACAAAAATGATCTTTCATTAACACCTAAGTAGACTGAATGAAACACTGCAAACATCTTTTTAAATACCTAGCTCAAGGGATAGTGAGAAATGCACCAAGGATGTAAGAGAAATAGTTGCGTGGATCCTTCAGTGGCCATGTATGTGGGGCATGGGATGAAGCATTTGTCCCATGGCTACAGGATCAGAGACCCACTGTCCTGGAGGTGCAGGTGAAGCTGGACTATGCAAGGAAGGTGACCATAAAGCAGATTGTAGCATGCAGTCAGAAGCCATGCAGGGGGCTATCGCTTAGCCAGAGAGCACCCCCACCACTTCCCTGTGAGTTGATGACACTTCTTGCATTATCCTGACCTGGAGCTTGAAAATGAAGTCTCTCTTGAAAATTCTGAAAATTTATAATGGTATTATGGACAGTTGGGAGTCACAGTGTTTCCCTCATCTTGAAACTCACTGTCAGCTGAAAAATAGAGCCAGGCTGATTTGCTTAACAGAGATCCCACAGAATTACTGTAGATGAAACTTCATTTACTATGAGCTCAAGAGCCAAGATCGTGAACATTTGAAGAACTGACTCCCTTCCTCAGACTCAGCATGTAGATTAGACTGCTAGGAACTTGCCCAAGTAGAAAAAACTGATAAGCACATTCATGGAGGTACGCTTGAAATAATTAAAGAAATAAAATCTGGACTCTATAATGTAAGATGCCAAAAAACAGCATGTCAAGAAACTACTTGAAATGCAAAAGAAAAATTTAGTTATTGAAATTTGAAACCAATTAACTGGACATAATTAGTGTAAAATGCAGTACAATGAAATACATGAATGAGCATGTCATACCAAAAGATGCTCAGGGAGAGAATAAGGGATGACAGCAAAGCTACAGAGCTGGAAAATGGAGCAGAAGAGATCAGCTGAATAGAACTTTCATGAGGAGAAAATGAAGAGAATTGAGGACAGGCTTTTGAGGGAGAGTCTTGATGAGTCACTAAGTTGCCCAGGCAGGACTGGAATTTGCCATCCTCTTGAGTTGGCCTCCCAGAGTGCTGGTGTCATAGGTATGTGACAGCACAGCCAGCCAAGAAGCAATATTATAAGAAATAATGAGGGCTGGCCAGATAGCTCAGCGGACTAAAGTGCCTGCTTAGGACCAGGGTTCGATCCCTGGCGTGCTGTGCTGGCACTGCCCAGGGGGTGTGCTGAGAGGGTGACTGAGACTGGGCGTAGTAGCACGTGCCTGTAATCCTAGTGCTTGGAGGCTGAAAACAGGAGGATCACTATGAGTCTGCTCTGCCTAGTGAGACCCTGTAGACCCTGTACTAAATATGTTTTTTAAAAAAAGAAATAATGAGTAGGAATTTTCTAGAATACAGAAAATGTGAGATTTCTCAGACTTAGGAATCACACTGGGTCTCAAACCAGAAAAATGAAATTAAATTTACATCTAGACTTACCATAAGGAAACTTTAAAATACAAAAATCTTACTTATAATATTAGACATCATAAAAGATCACCGATGGATAGAAAGAAATTAACTATAGCACATCAGAGAGTGACTGGCATTCTAAAACTCCACTGTTATTATTACTATTAGTAGTAGTAATAAAAAGATAAACTCTGGAAAATGGTAAATCAAAACAATATAAAAGGGACTGGTGAGATGGCTCAGTGGTCTAAAGCACCTACTTGGAACAAGCTTGGCAAAGCACAGGGACCGTGATTCAATCCCCCAGCACCACATGCCAGCCAGCCCCACCCCCTGGTGGGCTGAGCTGGCCACACACACACACACACACACACACACACAAATAAATAAATAAAATTTAAAAAAATATATATATATATAAAACAATATATAAATGTATATGAAGGACACACTTGAAAATAAATCAGCCCCAGAACATGGAAATGAAAACAAGATCTCATTATTTTTCATTTATTGACTTTCATACATATATTGAAAGATTATTATCACCAAGCCAGAGGTGGTGATGCACTCCTGTAATCACGCTGCTCCGGGAGACAGAGGCAGGAGATTGCAAGTTCAAATTCACCCAGAGCAACTTAACAACTTAGTGACATCCTATCTCAAAGTAAGATATAAAATGGTGGGGACTGTAACTCAGTGTGCCCTGAATTCAGCCCCAGGATTGGGAAAACATAGTTCTCACCACTTTTAGGCAGACTGTTGGTTGTGGGATGTTGCTGTACCGCCCTTGCTGCTGGTGCAAGCTTGGTGCAACGCGCACCAGACGCCTCTGTGCACAACCACGCCGTGCGGCATGGACAACATCCCTGCAGCAGCACTTACAAAGTAGTTCAGGAGCAAAGTAACAGGTGTCAGTACTTGCATAAAGTGTGTATGTTTTCTGGGATATCAGGCAGCCGTCAAAAGAACTAATTGCATTTTCATATGAAGGGACATAAAGATTAAAAATTTGTGCTAGCTGAAAAAAACAAGTTGTAGGATACTAAGTATAAGATAAATAAATAAGACCTATGTGTAATATGTATATAAATTATGTTATGTATTATATGCATATATATATACATTTATAAGTGAATAGAAAACAATTAAAAGAAAAATTCAGATCCACTAATCTGTAAGACATCATCTCTGTAGAGTGAGGAGTGCAGGAATGGCTACATAGGGACACTTTATCTTTAGTGCTTACGTGTGTCACAACAGTAATGTATATATGAATCACTGCCATTATTTTTTTTAAAATGAGATGGATATTGTGTATTATACCTGTAATCCCAGCACTCTGGGGAGTTGAGGCAAGAGGATTATGAGTTTGAATCCTGCCCAGATAATTTAGCAACTTGGCAAGATCCTGTCAAAATAAAAAAATTTGAAAGGTCTGGAGAAATAGCTCAGTGCAAACCATGAGTTCAATCCCTAGAACTTCTAAATAAATAAGTAAATACATACACACAAAATTGAAAAAATAGCAATAAATATATGTCACAAAATCTTTGGTCATAATCTGTGATGTGTAAAAATATTTGGCTTTTGTTGATGTCTTCAGAATATGAGATGGAGGGTAAAATAGGATGCTTTGGACTCTCTCTTGCCTGAACACACACTATTCTGAGAAAACAGTTAGTGTTGCCCCAATGTCAGAATATGGGAGAGACCACATGAAGATTTAAGAAGACCAGCATGCTGTGCCAGCCCCACCCCTGGAGCACACCGAGACTGGGCATGGTGGCCCGCGCCTGTAATCCCAGCTCTCCGAGGCTGAACACAGGCAGATCACTAGGAGTCCAATCTACGTAATAAGACCCTGTAGACCCTATAGACCCTGTACTAAAATACAAAAAA